ATGTAAATATTAATATTTGATTAAATTATTTAAAATTTGAGAATGACTCTCATTTGGTGATGGTATTATGAATAACTTTTATTATTTTCTTTATATTTATTTCTATCTTAGTCTGCAAAGATATTTCTGTCTTAGTCGCAAAATACTTCGGGTATATGTCATTAAACAGTAGTCATTTATAAACAGAAAATACTTTTTCTTTTAACAAAGAAAAATCCTGGATTTTGTTTTTGCAAATCTCAATAAGTATTAGTTTCTTTATTTGTCAAATGAAGATGGAATATCCATGATTATTTTGATAACTAAATCAATTTGTGAGGGCTTAGCATAGTTTCTGGAACAGCAGATGTTCGATAAATGGTAGGTAAATGTATAGTTTAATCTGGAAGCTGAAGGAGTAAGGACAGACATAAAGTGGGAGATTCTGAGAAACCAGAGAGAGGTGAGAAGCTGTTGGGTACCTGGGAGATGATGCACAGGTGTCAGGAAGACGTAGCAAAGACAGCTGGTTACTGAGAAAGAAGCAAAGAGAAACTCTGAGTACTTAGGAAGCTTCCCTAAGAATTAATCTAGGTATTCCTACTCATATTTTGAAACTGATTTTGCATATAATTTATTCTTCATATGCAATCCGATTGAGACACAAGGATTTTGATAACCATATTCATCTCCATAAGTTTGTACTGAGCCAAAAATTCATACATAGGTGTTGAAGGTACTTTGCACAGTAGTTTAAAAGTTATGTTAGAATTTTTGGGAAAGATCAAGTACTATCAATAATCATACCAATCCATACTGTAATAAGAATTAGAGGGGACAGTGGTATAAATGTAAGTTTGTTTCACCACTCTTATTTTCTGGAAGAATATATTCCTGAGGGATTCCTGAAATAATATGCACTAGTGGATAAAGAAAAATGTCTGCTTATGAAGGGAGTAGCCAACTAGAGTGCATGCAGCACAGTGATTATTTTGACAACATCTCTTTAGAGTGATGCACTCATTCTTTATTTTTTAAGGTGAAAATGTTGGAAAATTAAACAGATTAAATTTATGAGTTAATGCACTCCTTTTCTTAGTTTCATTTACTTCCCATTTTTTATAATGCTCTAGGGTTCCTTTCTTAATAGGTTTATGTAGGGCATGTAAGATACAGAGTCATAAATTGCATATAAGATACTTTTCCTTTAAAATTAGTTTAGTAGATGTCCTAATATTTTATGTTTTAGAATGTTTGTGCAAAAACATTTTAGGAAATCTCAAGTCTTGAATAGTTTCTCCAGTCAAGCATGTTGATTACCTCTTTGCCTGAAATAAATGGTAACTGATTTTAGTTCTCTAAGAGAATCCAATTTCATTCCTTGAATATACACATAAACTCTGAAGAAGATGAATTTGATTTAAATAGAAATACACATTTAGGCACACTTCACTGT